GGGGGGATTTTGGGTAGAATAGGGAGGGTATTGGGTTGGGTAATTGGTGTAGGTGGGGTAATTGGGGTAAGTGGGCTGAGTTAAATAAGCATGGGCTGGGTGAGAAAAGGAATTGGGCCGTGGGCCCAATATTCCTTGGCTTGGGTTGGGATAAGAATTGGGGATCTGCCAGTTATCCAATTGCCCGAAGGATTGCCGCACGCCCCTGCCGTTGTTCCGACCTCGACCGCGACCGCGCACCAGGCGACCTCCGCGACCACCAGCCGTCTGTCCACGGCCGCCGCCGCTGCCCTGGGACTGCCCGCCGCCGCCGAAGCCCTGCACCCGGCTCGCTCCACCGCCGAAACCCTGCGGCCCAGAGATGGTGGCTGCGAGGGCAGAACCTCCTTCGCCGGCAATGATGAGAGGCCGATTTTGTTGTTCTAAGAGAAGAAGGGCCGATCTCGTTTCCATGAAAGTCGGCGGCGGTTTTTGGAATTGGAGGAAGGAGGCTTGCTTGCCAAGGTCATCCGGGAGACCACGTAGGGTTTGGAGAACAAGCTGGTTTTCGGTGACGGGGGCATCCACATCGTCCAACCAATCGGCAATATTCCGAAGGGTTTGACAGTAAGTTGTGATGGTGGACGTGCCTTTGACAGTGTTGTAAAATTGGTGCTCCAATTGCATAGCTCTGGCCGCTTTGTTGTCATGAAATAGGTTGTGTATAGCTTTCCATAAATCTGCTGCAGATGTGGTGGAGGAGATGATGAGATCGGAAACCTCATCGTTGATGGTTGAAAGAATCCATCCTTGAATGAGGGCATCTAGTTGAAGCCATTCAATATCATCTTTCCCGGTGGAGGTTTTCTCACCGGGGACGAAGCCTTCAAGATTGAACCGTCTGACCAAGAGAAGAAAAAGACGACTCTACTTCTTGTAGTTTGGTTTCGAGAAACTGAGAGTGATGGGTACTTGTAGTTTGACATTAGAGACGGTCGTAAAAGCAAGATGAGGGGTATTTGCAGTAGTGGTGGAAGAAGAAACAGGTTTTTCCGATGACATGTTGACAAAGAGAGAGGGAGAAGGTGACTAGTGAAGGAAAGGGACCGGCAACTCCTTCGCCGGAGAGGGGAGATGACTCGGCGGCAGCAAGAGGGAGAAGGGCTGCGCCGTGAAAGGGAGGGAGGAGGTGGTTCGGTATTACCGTAGGAATGGCTCCGATACCATGAAGAATTGTATATTTCCAATGAATCATTACAAAATATTTACCTCCCCTTATATACATGTAGGAGGGTGTAGTATAAGGAAATTACATTAAATGGAATCATATACAATTATGGAATCTACCATATATATAATAATCATATTAAATATGGAATATTATCTTAACATATTTAACAGTTCGGTAATACGGAGTGCACAATTGTTAAACGATCTTGCAAATTCTATATCTAGGGGCAATAGTCCCTTGCAGTAGGATCTAGGAGCAATTGTCGAGCTGCCAGATTAGCTGAAACATTTCTTGTTTTAGACTTTGAAATATCTCAAGTCTCCAACCCTCATCGATTGTGATTCCTTTTGAACACATAGCTTAGAAATGTTTTGATACAATTTCAACAATGTATATGAACTTTAAGATTTTTCAATATATCCACAAGTATCCTATAGCTATACATGCCATAATTCAAGTATGAAGTATCAATTTAATGCAAGATTTTCTTATTGATACACCATACGGAGTGTATTCCCAAAAATCTATCCATATTTCGAAATCAGTATTTGAGAGTAGGGGCTTCCCTCATTAAGAGCAGCGTACTGAAATTTATAATGACATGCTCAGCCTGTCGTAAGTGAGACTCTCATGTTTAGCAGCAAAAATTGTTTTGTTCATAAAAACGAACATATACATGCATACAGTAGTACTTGGCACTGATAAATAGCTACTACCAGTAATTCATAAGAAGAGTCTCAGGCAATTTGTGAATAAAGCTGAAGAAATAGCTGTCTTTGCCTACAAAATAATATCTTGAAATACTTAAACTTTAGAGAGGAAATGGTGTGCAGGTTCTTGGAAGGTAACTGCAACAACTACCAAATGCGAGAGTTATGAAGCCAGGAGAGCTTCAATTTTGGCAAGGTGATCTTCTTCATTCCGTGGAGCTGGGCTCTTGTTGCCTTGTTGGCTTCGCTGAAAAGATCATTTTTCCATTTGTCAACAGTATTGTTCGGGTGAAAATCAGGTCTTGAGCTGATTGTGTCTCTTCCGCTAAAACTACCCCTGTCATAGTACCTATCTCTTCTTGAAGGAAATCTGTCTTGCCACGCCCTGCCCCTGTTTGTCCCTCTTTCCCTGGCAAATGCTTGGTCAGGACGATGGAAAAAAGAGCTGTTTCTCTCTCTTCTTCTTTCAACGATGTGAGATGCATTACAATAGGAGTTGTGCTTGGCTGGCTCCATTTCTGGTTTCTCAGTATCAGCAGATATTTTTTGCTCTCTAAATGACCTTTTCTTTGCAGGTGGTTTTGGGTTTGCTTCCAATTCAAAGTACCCATCATGGCGCCAAACATCACTCTCTTTCCCCTGAACTTTGATCTTCTGATCCACCAGCGATCCGTCATTAGTTCGTTTCCTGTTCACCTGCTCCATCGGTTCTCTCCTCTGAGCATGTTCTTTAGCACCAAAAAACACACAAAATTAGATCCAACTCCAAACAATAAATTAAATCCACTCAATGTAAGCCTAAGATCACTGGCTAGGTGATGTAAAGAGTTTAAACAGACCCATATTACATTTCTCGTATGACACACCCAAGTGGTTTAATCTAATTCTTGCACCCTTGGAAAATACTTTTGTTTTAAGAGAAAAACAAGGGATAGGGTGCATTCACGAGGTGAATTAAGAGGAACTCACCATCTGGCTCTCTTCGCCTTGAACTTCGACCAGCTTGCCCGGCATTACCGCGTTCATCGTGCTGTTATAAGAAATGCACAGGCAAGCCTAACAGTGTTATACACACAGAGGTACTTGAAGTCAACTAGCTGAACAAGAACTTCAATGAATCAGCCCAATGTAACTGTCCATTATGACTTTCTTGGTAAAAATGAATGAATGTAGACATAAAGTATGTCTACATTCATTAATTTTTCAATGTATCAAGAAAGTCATAATAGACAGTTAATATGGAATGGAGGGAGTAACTATTAAGAACGTGAAAATGTGATTGAAATGAAACAAGGGAAACCGAACCGCCCAATTCTTTCCTTACAAAAATAATTTTGAAATGGACAGAAAAAGGAAAGTGAGAGGCAAATTAAAAAATCTTCAATTATTAAAGAAGACACCTGAAAGTATGATTGAGAGCGAGGTGCTTCTGCTGGATCCGAGGAACGCTTAACAGATCGATGCTGAGATAACTCTAGTGGCTCAGAATTCATTCCTTCTGCATGAGCAACCCTTTTCTGGTCAGATACTTTTCTAGCAACTCTTTCTGTCCTGCCGTCCTGTCTTGAAGGGGCTTCAAGATGCACCCCATCTTGAGCCTCAGACTGGTTTTTTTTGCCTAAGATCTGAATTTTTTTGAGCATCCAATGTATTGTTGGTATGGTGCCTCTCAGTTTTGGGTTTACTATCCCGCCTGGATCTCTTTGGGCTAAATGAACGTTTCATTCTTTCAATGTCAACATCCCTCTTCTGGTCAGGCATTTTTCTTGCACTTTTTTCTGTCTTATACTCTGGCCTAGAGGGGGCATCATGATGAGCAGAATCCTGCATCTGAAGAGTTGATTTCAACTCCTGATCTGACTTTTTTCTCACATCTGAAGTATTTTTGGTAAGGTGCCTCTCAGTTTCTGGTTTACTATCCTGCATATTTCTCCTTGGACTAGAAGAATGTTTTGTTCCTTCGATGTGAACATCCCCTTTTTGGTCAGATACTCTACTTCCAGCCCTTTCTGTTTTGCTGTCCTGTCTGGGGGATTCAAGATGCCCAGCATCTTTCAGGTGAATCTGCTTTTTCTGTTCTGAATCTGAATTTTTTCTTACATCTGGAGCATTGTGGGTAAGTTGCTTCTCAGTTTCTGGTTTACTTTCTCGCCTAGATCTCTTTGGACTAAAAGTGTAACACCCCAACCCGCATAACCCGAATAAATAGGTTAGCGAACCGGGTTGCTACTAATTTGGTAACCACATACAATATTTTCCAATAAATTAAAACATTTAATTTAAAACTTAACAATTCAAAATCATTTGATAATTACATTTAAGAGTTTATACAAACAGTGCGGAAGCCTTATAATTAAATCCAACATTAAATCCTTACATCCGTACATCTCCTCCGTCATGCTGCTCTCCGGGATGGATTTCAGAATCAATCTACCACAACCACCTAAGAGCAAATAGGAAAAAGGGCTACACGCTCAGCATTGAAGCTAAGTGAGTAATATCTAACAGTTCGAACATACACATAGGCGAATCCACTAATCCATAATTTTCACATGGTATCATGCACACAACATGTTTGGCAACAATCATACCTCATACAAGATATAACATGCATAATCAACATCATAACAGTTCATAAAATACAAACAACATCGGTGTATGTATTAGGAACTTTCCTTTTTAGTTTACTTTACTTTTCTTATCATACATGGCTCTTAACCTATGCTAGGTTAAGGCTTAACTGAATTTGACTTTCCTATGGAGTCATGACCTTCCCCTTCGGAACGAAGGTCAAACTCAAACCAACTCGGGAGTTCCTCGTTGGGTGGGTGAGATCCCTGTCCCCTTCGGAACGACAGTTCTTGGATCTCCGTGTACACTTTTTTACCCGAACAGCCATTGGACCCAGCAGGTACCACATGGCTCTAACTAACCGTACTTATGGCATACCTTGCCATTAATCCATTCAGATCATTTCCTAGAGTTCTTCTAGGTGATGTACCCAATCTTCATTAATCAATACATAATACAACATCCATGAATCCACAATTCATTTAACAAGATAACTAACATAATCAAATAGCGGTCTAACACTGGGAATACACACCCATGTTTACCGTCATGCAATACACAAAGTCTCGGAATCAATCCTTGACGGAAACACAGATCGACAGACCCGGCAACAGGTACCAGACGGTACCTGTCACGGTACGGGGTACCGTCCATACGGTACCTTGGTACCGGTCATACGGTACCAGGGGTACCGTGTGAATCAATGAACTCTTTCGGTAGGACTGCTACGGTAGCCAACTACCGACCAGGCGGTAGGGCCTACCGTCCGTCCGGTACCTTGGTACCGTACGGTTGTAGCTACCGGCAGAGACGAAAAAAATCAACAAAGTGTGACGGTAGCTTGGTACCGTCCCGGCGGTACCACCTACCGTCTGACACAACAAATTTCATATTCATACCTGCTTCGTTTTTCAGCGTCACACCAACAACAATCTCATGATCAAACACCAATAGGTTAACATTAACGTTCTAAATATCATCAAGCACATTAATTCATCAATCAACGCCTAAGTCATACATACTACCCTTTTCGATTCAACGACAACAATTCCCGAAACCATAACAAACAATTACA